CTATAGATGCATGGACTTATTTCTAGGCCCCTATTTTGTTCCTTTGGTCTATTTCTCTGTTTTCATGACAATGCCATGCAGTTTTGACTACCATAGCTTTATAGTATGTTTTGAAGTCAGATAGTGTGGTGCCTCCAGCTTTGTTCATTTTGCTAGAATGTTTTCTCAATATTCAGAGTCTTTTGTGGTTCTATACAATTTTTAGAATTTTTTTTCTATATCTGTGAAGAATGACTTTGGTACTTTGATAGGAATTATATTGAATCTGTAGATTGCTTTGGATAGAATGAACATTTTCTATAACTTAGGTAGTTCAAAGGCTTTGGGCAAACCTTTGCATTTTTCATCTCCTGTTGTCTTATAGCTATTTCTTGTTCATCATTTTTTTCTTTAAATTTATAGAATTTGAAAATTGAAAATTCTTGAAAATTCTCTATCTCCTTCTCTTCTTCCTTCCTCCATTTCTAAATTTCATGGAGATTTTTAAATAATTTTTACTTACTTCATGCTATCATCTTTTATCATGTTCCCTGCCTATGTTTTGTTTTGTCTTAAAATATATTTTTGCATAGATATCATGCTGGTTCCTTCTTGATTATTACTTGTGATATTTACAGTGGATGACTTTCTCTTGGAGTTTGTAGTTTGGGGTAGATAATGGGGGTTAATGAATTGACAGGCTGGGGAAGTTAGAATTTTTGTGTGTTGTAGTCCAACCCTTTCTTAGAAGCACTTTCTAACAGGGTTTGATTCTACCCACTAGCAGGACTCCCTGGCTTACAGCAGAGGGCTTTCTGCCATAGGTTTTGTGCTTGTTGTATGACATAGCTCAGATCTCTTTATCTGAATGCATTGAAACTCTTTCTCTGAAAACTAGTCCCATTTTTAGTGTATGTTCTTCTTCATATATGAAGGTTTAGGTTTATAAATATCTAGTTTAGTAAATGATGGTATTTCCTTTTCTGTTCCTCATACTCCCTGTTATTTTCCATGAGTTTCAAAATGAATTGAAGACCAGAGAAATTTTTCTTCTGCTTTATTAACATGTAAGAGTTGTGGTGATGTCTTTAACTTGACCTCCGCTTTTTTAATTTGTCTTCTTGATCTTTTATGGTTCACTCTCCACAGCCTACTTATTCAGAAGCACAAGTCAGAATATGTGACTTCTCTGCCTCCCAAGCTTGTTCCAGGTAGCTGGGAAAGTAAATTACAGGCACTTCCAACCAGCCCCACGGCCCCGTATGCAACGGCCTCTCACAGGCACTTCCAACCAGCCCCACGGGCCCCGTATGCAACGGCCTCTCACTCCTCTGGTGTTTTGCTCTGTCGCTCCTTTGCATCTTAGCAATGCTGAGTTTCACATATATCTAATAACACACTGTGAAAATTCACATCTGGGCTCCTTTTCATACAGCTATTGCTTCTGCCTGAAGTTCTCCTTCTTTCTTCACTACCTAATAAGTTCCTATTTATTCTTCAAAGCCTAGTTCTGGTGACTCTTGGGTTTTGAAACCTTATTTCACTCTTTTGGAATATAATTGATCCCACCTCTCTCTCTACTACTTTACTTCTATATATTTTTTATACTTTATCATAATTGGATTTTTTTTACATATTTTCTTCACTCTATTATGGATTCCTTGAAATTGGTCTGTGTATCTCCACTTGGCACAGGGCCTGGTCCTTAATAAAATCTTAAGTAATAAACTAAATCAATATACACTAAAAGATTCAAACCTATATAATAATTATTTAGGATTAATAAAATAGGACAAATATTTTTAATCACAAGGCTTGAATTTTTTTTTACTTTTCTGAATTTAAGAAAAACAATGTAAAAATATGGAAATACATAGAACAAAGGAAAAACATTAATAAGTGTTCTGTAGACCATAAGAAAGGGGTAGTGATCGGGAAAGAGTGAAGAGAGAAACTATAAGGCATGGAGATGTTTGAATGCTGGCAATAGTTTACATCATGGGGACAAATGCTAGCTTCAAGATAAAGTATCCTTGGAGGAAAAATAAACAGTCTGGGTCAAAACCGCATGTCCTTCAGATGTGGTGGGAAAACTGAGCAGGGAGCCTTCCTGAATGCCTCATCTACCAGGTTGAGGAAAATGATTTATTCCTGGGAGTCAACCTCTTATTTTTTTTAAAAAAGAAAACTACTTATATTGCTGATTTCAGAATATTTCTTCTCTCCTGAGCTAACTTTTTATGCCCATTCCCAGCAATAATGGAGGATATGCACGTCTCAGTAGTACAGTGTAGTGACTCGTTGCCGTGAAAGGTGAAATACTGAGTGAGGATTGAAATACTCCATATGTCTTAAAATTCCACAAATGCAAGCATGTGGGAGACATTCAGTACAGAAACTCAACATTACTAATCTTCACAAAACACTCTGAAATCAATAGTCCTTCCCTACTGCCTGGACATACAACAGAACTCATCCCGTTGGGACTCTAACAGAGCCATCTGGAACGTTTCAGATTTAATATCAGGGCTTTGCTTTTTCAGAAAGGCAGAAAAGACCTTGCTTCGCAAACTCTCTGTCTGAGAGTTTAGTTGTCCATTGGCATGAATTTTTCTGTGTTTCTATAGCTCTGTGAGACATTAATTGTGAGCAATTCAAGACATGTTTTTGCTAGCTTCTCATCAGAAAACCCCAGGAGGGAAGTTGTTGCCTTGTGCTGAGTTTTTATGCCTTAGGAAGCTCATCTTATTTCAGATATTTGTTTCTCTTTATGTTCACTTTCCTATCCCATTTTACCTCTGGTTCAACACCTGCCCCCTTTTATTTTTCCTAATCAAGAAGGCAGGCTATGGACATTCTGTTTCTGGGTGTGTCAGATGTTGTTTGGCTCCAAGAGCTCCTGAATTATAGCCAGTCCAGAGCTTCAGACTCGTCCCCAGGCCCCTGACTCAAAGTTGGTAGAGGATCAGAAAAACTTGTCTTGAAAGTAGTTCGATGTAGAGAAAATTGAGCCCTAATAGTTAGCATGACTCTCTTCCTGAGAGACCCAGAGAATCACGAGAGTGGCAGGTGAGTTCTGCACATGCAGGTCAGAAAACCGGCCTCCAAGGGAGAATGTGCATGTGAGGTGTGGCAATACCAGGCCTAATGGTTATGGTAAAGATTCTCTAGACTCCTAGAGTCTCTTGATGCTAGAGGCAGAGGAACTGCTCAAGGTCTGCAGTTCTGCAAAAACGAAGCTGGAAACATTCCATCCGACTTTTCCACGTTCTCCTCATCAGTGCTAATGTCAGGCAAGCAGCTTTTGTCTACTGCTTCCTGTTGTATAATAATAAATATGGACCTGAGGTTTGCTCCCGAGGGCTCCTCCCAGAGTTCCTCAGTCCCCGACATGGACTCTGTGTCAAGCCTCTTTATTTCTCACATCAACCCCCCCGATTTGGTGACCCCATACTCTTCAGTTTGACGGTAACATGATGACTTTCTGAGGAGTTCCGGGATGTGTCTGGGTCTGAAGGCCAGTACGGTGGTGCTGAGGCTAATTCAACTTATTTTAATCAAGGGTTCACTTGTTCTAAATAAGGTATAGTCTCAGTTTCCAAGGGGTTACCATCTAGTGGGAAGATGTGGCATGTGGGTAAAGGGACTTCAAGAGACGGATAAATCAGCTCCTCCTAGGGCGGCCAAGTGGAGTTTTTCAAGCAGTGATGACCTAGTGATGGGTGGGTTTCCACTCATGGTGCTCCATGTCCACCTCCTGGATGCTAATTTTCTTTCAAAAAAAAAATTGGGACTCTGTAGTTTCCATCCAAAAGTCTCCTTGAAGAGACTCATGGGGTTGAAATGGTTTGACACTTTGTTACTAACAGAAGTTCAAGGATTTCTCTCTGTTACTGATGTATCTTTATACTTTACTGTTCACTCACATAGTAAACAAGAATGTTGCTAATCAGTAAAATAAAGCAATATCAAGCAACCAAAATAGCTAAGACTTTTTTTTTTAATCACTTGTGCATCCTTTGAATGATTCTTCCCCACCATTTGTTGCCATGTCTCATAACTATTAGTTACATTAGGGAGTCTTATTGACAAACTCCTGTATTTATCTTTGGTAGTCTGCTTGCAACAGACTCCAGTGGGCCAAGCATGCAGAGAAGGGGACCCCTCTCTACTGGAGGAAGGACATAATTTCATGGCTTTCCCTTCAAAATTTCAATTCTGAATACAGTATGTTCTCCCCAGAAAAGAATAAGCTGGGAGTCAAAACTGGACTCTTTCAAACTGGAGGTGAACCTCCAACATTATCTCAGTTGACAGAGAGAAAAAGAGGTTTTTATGATTGATACGATTTTTCATCTGATATCTTACTGTTATAACTAGAGGTGAACCCTCAACTGGTACGCAAAAGTTATTGGTTTATGAAAGTTTGGTTTGACCCCACTAGTTTCCTTCTGGTCTCATCCTGATTCTCCAAGGTTTATAGACATAAGGCCAGCCTCCAGAGGGTCTATGTCATGCTCTCTCAAACATCCATGAAAAATGGAAATAAAAATCAGTACATGAGAAGGTTTCGTGCCATTTCTATTACTTCCATCTCAATTTATTCTGTGTAGATCTCTTTGCACCTATAGACACTCCATCTAGTGTATGCTTATATCCCTGACATTTTCTTTGGAGGTGTGGCCTTAGACACCATCATAGGATTTCATTTAATATCACATTTCTATAAGTTCTCTTTCTGTGTGTGATAAATTCACATTTAACAAGTTTGTTGCAGACCTGTGACATCATACATAGATTGACATTTTAGTAGCCCACGGCACCTAGCCAATCCAGGTAAGATCTGGGGACTGTTGATTGGAATATATAGTGTTGCCAACACATTAATTATATGCATATGGTATACTCGGTTGAGTTTTCATTCAATTGAATTTTGGAAATTAATTTTTATGAAATTATTCTAGATAATTATTGTAATTATCACATACAAAATGTTTATCATGCTTATTATCTCATTTTAGGTCACCAGTGTCTTCAGAAGATCATGGTAAGAATCTGTCTTATTTATACTAATTTAGGATTAAATGTTGAGCCCTAGTCTTTGCATTTTTTGGTCGGAACAAAGAATTATTTAAGAAAATGTCTCTAAGATTTTGAGTGTGAAATGTCAAGAACCTTAAGGATGTTTAAGTATCCTAGCTAAATTTGATATATTATTGTCAGATATGGTAACCATGTCAGTTGATAAATATTGAGAAGCTTAATGTATTCTGCCTGATTTCTGTCCCATCACCAGTAACTTTTTGTGACTTCTCTGAATCAGATTTTCATCTCTAAATAAGAATAACATTAAACATTCCCAAAAGTCCCCTTCCATGTCAGACTTGGGACTATTCCCTGGTCACTCATTTGCAAAGAATGTTCTAATTCTGAAACAAAGTGAGTTGTAGTAAGTCGTACCAGCTGTTGTTCCATCGAGGCATGATATTTACATTTTAAGATACAGTGATTTCCCTCAAAAGATAAAGTGTCTAATTTTGTCCCACCTTAGAGTTTATTCACTCAATCAGTCATTCAAAAGTATTTATTGGCCAGGTGCAGTGGCTCACACCTGTAATCCTAGCACTCTGGGAAGCTGAGGTGGGTGGATTGCCTAAGCTCAGGAGTTTAAGATCAGCTTGAGCAAGAGAGTGAGCCTCCATCTCTAAAAATAGCTGGGCATTGTGGTGGGCACCTGTAGTCCCAGCTACCTGGGAGGCTGAGAAAGATCAGATCACTTGAGCTCAAAAGAGTTCGAGGTTGCCTTGAGCTATGATGCCACAACACTCTACCAAGGGTGAGACTGTGTCTCAAAAAAAAGTGTTTATTAAGTGGCTATTATGGGTCAATTACGCTATATAATTTTGTCTTACAAACACCGCATATGCTATGTGGGGGCTTTAGTTTAGGGCCTTTGTGGCTTATATGGACCATCAAATTTGTCTCATAACTGGTATCCACTCTGTAGATTTTCTTGCCCTAGTCCACTATACACATAGCTAGCACCAAACATTATGCTATAGTAAACATCTATACCCCGTCTGTAGGATGAAATCTTTTAGCAGACTGATAACTGTGTCCAGCTTTCCAATGTTGTGTATTAATGTGGGCCACTGAGCCTTAAATGAGGGAATCTTTGCCTGCCTCTACCTCTCGTTGATTCTCTTGCTACTTCCCCTTCTCTTACTTGCGACCTATGCGCCAGCCATGGGGCCGCATCTAATTCCCAGAACTCGCCATGTCTGCTGTGATTTTTATCCCTAGGCTTTTATCCCCATATTGTCTCTAGCAGGAGGCTCTGCTTTCTGCCTGTAGATGGTTTCTACTTACGTCACCTCATCCTCCGTGGAGCGTTCTCATCCCACTTACTGTTGTGCTAAAGATTTTTCTACATTCTAGGGCTTGACACACAAATCCGATGCTCTGCTTGGCTGGTTCCCTACTGGTCTGTGAGTTCTTTGACAGTTTCTATCAAATAGGAAACATTCAAAAAATTAATTAAGGAAATGGGGAGGGAGTTTCAGGTAGGCCTTTTTGGCTTCCACATCATGAAATTTGTCTCAATCCTGGATGAAACTGTATCATTTTCTTTGAAAAATCACAGGGAAAATTATATTTAGGCTTATTAAGCTGGAATTAGGCAATCTGCCACCTGATGTTAAGCCCTTATTATATGCTATTTTGCTGATTGTTGTTGGTATGACTGGGGTTTTGATTGCTTATTTATAGGTCCTTGAGTTTCCATGTTCAAATGATAGAATAGAAACTTACTTGGGTTTTGTTTGAACTAGAATTCCTATTAATAAACTTTGGTCGCTTTTGCCTTCCTATCTGTAAGAATGTTTTCCCCATTCAAGTACAAACACAAAGGACTTCTGAACTGCCATTCTGTAGTCCATTGGAACTTCTTCATGGGTTATACAGTGAGTGTAATTCAGGGTCCTTTGAAGTTCTGAAAGGTGACCACTGCCAGGAAGACTTGCTCAGTAATAAGAGCACTTCAGAATTAATTATTTTAAGTACCATCATATATGACGAGGTCCAGAAAACTTATCCACATTAGAAGGATTTATATTTCCATGTCTTCAAAAAATAATACACATCGATGCTTCTTTGTTTGATTCTGCAACTTTCAAAAATAGTTCAAATACATTAATGCCAAAATTTTAATATAATGCTGCTTTATCTAATTTTGCTAATTATTTATCATCTTCCAGCCCACATGTCTTTGGAAAAATATTCCTATATTTTTCCTATCTGGCACTCAAAATATATTTCCTTATGTTTACACATTTTTAAGAGTTCATATATACCAAGGCTGGCATAAAACCTCTTGAATGTCACTTCACCCATCTCACGTAGCATTTATAGGTGGGAATAACATTGTAGTTATTGTGTAAGAGGGATAAAAAGTAGCATTTTTCCTTTCTCAAATTTGTTGGTAGGAAAGTTGGGGCACATTGGGAAAATGGCTGGTAAAATTGAAACCTAAAACTTCATGCCTCTTGGTTTTCCACTTTGTTTGCTTTCCACGAAGGATCCTGCTTTCCTCTGTAATAAGTGGTCACTTTGGTTATCCCCCAAACAGAATTAATTCTTAGAAAAATCTATTTGTGCCAAGCCTGATAACCCTAGGATTTTCCATTCCTAGATACCCTTTCCCAGAGATCTTCAATACAGAGATTCTGCCATTTGTCTTTTCTTGTTCTTGGTTTTGTTTTCATTATCTGTAAAGTGGGGTTAATCGTATCTACTCTGCGTACCTCATGGGATTTTGTGAGTTGAGGTGAGAAATGCTGAAAGTACCTAACCTCCAGGCAGTGGTGGAGGAAGCAGGAATTCACCAGCGATGTTCCCTTATCAACAGGTACTGCTGATGATAAGTTAACAGAGGGGATGGGGGAAGAAATGTTTCTTTCAACATTAAGTGTTATATTTTCACTAGAGCTCGCTTTTTATTTCAAGGTGAGTAGGAATGAAATGTTTAACACACAAGTCAGCTTGTAGTGCCAAAGCAAAGGCTCAGTTCGCGATTACATGTGCAGTGATATAGAATCGGCAACAGAAGGCCCAAATGACATGTAGATTGTTCCTATATTTATATAATAACATTTCAGGGCCATTAAGAAGGAAGGCTAAAATGCATCGAGTGCTTATTATGCAGACACCCTGTACTCAAGTGCTTCAACTACATTATTCCCTTTCATCTTTAACAAACAACTCTCTATAACAGATGTATCCTCCTCAGTCTTACAGCTGGACAACGAGGCTCATGGTGGTTAAACAACATGCTTAAGGTCACAGAGCTAGTAAATGAGAGAGTTGATTTTCAAACCCAGTTCTAACACCGAAACAATTGCCCTTTATCCAACACGGCTCTGGAAAACCAAAGAAATGATGGTTTGCATTCAGGTGAACTGATAGAATGATGGAGGGAAAAAGTGTCTTTCCCCCTCTCTAACAAGACTTTATTTACTATTGTGTAAGTAATTTCTTTTTAATGACAAAACAAAACAGAGCAAAAATAACAACTTCTCTCTCTCCTGCTGGGAATGATTTGTCCCTGTAGAAAAAGTAAATACCAATGTCACATTTTCTCATAATTAGTTAACTGAGTGAAACCGAAGCTTCAGGGAAACCTGCCATGCTAAACCCCAGTGGAAACATTACATTTTAATGCTACATCTGGAAGCCGGAGTCCTACTCCTTGTCAGAAGATAAGCTTGGCAGTGATTGATGGCCTTGTCCTCTGAGTTTCCTCGGTGCCTCCACATTTAGCACCTATCACTTCATCATTTAAATTGCTCCCGGAGCTGTCTCCTGCGCCCAACGGCCTCCCTGGCTCTGACACTCCTGCTGTCTTCTGTCAACTCAGCCTGTTTATTGTACAGGCCCCTTGGAATGCTGCTCCTGAGGCTTCTCCCTGTGACAGCATACCAAGGAAGGTCATCTTCCAACTGATGTCCATTCACTTACAAGATAAAAGGCACTCATTGCATCTTTTGAAAGAAAGTGCCCACAATCTGCTTGATTCCCCCAGAGCGTCTGAAGCCGGCATCTCTCTTCCACCCTGCCTCCTGGACCTGTTGGCAAGAATGGCTGTCACGTTCTAGGGTAGCTTTCTTGTTGTTGTCGTAATGGTGACATAGTGGGCAACAATGGCAATAGCAACTATTTGGAAATAAGTTGTAACAACCACAGGCACTAGTGTGCAGTATTCAGAGATGCGTCCACTGTCCTGCCTGGACACAGCTGCATTTTGCGGTCATCTGTGCCATGAAATGCACTGGGGTGCGGTCTGGAGCTCTTTAAGGCACCCATAGCTACTCCCCCCACCCCCCCGGCGGCTCATTCATGTTTCTCTCTAATATAAAAATGTGTCATATTTACTTCTATAATTTAGCTTAAGTAACATTTATAAAAATATGTAAATTTACCCGCTCAGTTTAGGTGATAAGCAAAGCAGATAATGGGTCCCCCACACCAAGAGTAAGGCGTTCATAGGGAACCGGGAGCTGCCTGTTGTCTGCCTTCCTGATTATCTCCCTTCTCTCTCAGAAACAAACAACTACTGTTGCCTTTTGGGGAATCACATCACTGGGGGTTTTTTGGTAATTTGTCTGTGTATGTGTGTAACTCACATATGAATGTTTATCTACACACAGTCACATGTATGTGTGTATACATCCTCTTGCTCATTTGAGCTGTTGCAAGTTGAATAATGTTGTATACTTTTCTGTAATTTTTGTTAAAAAATAACATTTTTGTGATTCATCCTTATTTATGAGTACCGTATTCCATTCACTTCATTAAAATGTCATAATAGGTAATATTATATTATATGAGTAAGCAACAATTTATACATCTAGTCCACTGATGAATGTTTATGTAGACTACAGAGTTTGTTCATTTGTTTGTTAGTTTTTTGCTATTTCGAACAATGTCACTATGGAAATCTTCTTCATAATTGATATTTTTATGATAACAAGTCTTTTCATTCAAAAGCTA